GTTGTTGCTGTTGTTGTTCTTGTTAATGTTGATGTTTGTTGTCGTGTGTGTGTGTCTGTCTACAATTAAAACATTTTGCCGAAAATATAAACTGCCCTGTTTTGCGGGTCTATATATATATATATAAATGTGTGTTTACGTGTGTATGAGTGTGGGTATGCGTATGTCTGTCAGTCTGTCTGTCTGTCTGTCGAGTGTGTGCGTGTGTGGTTGTGTGTGTGTTGGCTTTAGGCGCTGTTACAATTTTATAGCGTTATAACTATTATAAATATATCTGATATTATTTAATTTAAACTTGTTTATATTATTGCATGCTGTTTTTGTTGTTGTTGTTGTTGTTGTTGAAGTTTGTAGCTGCAAGTCGCTGCTGCTGCTGCTGCTTCTGTTGTTGCAGTTGTTGTTTTTGTTGTTGGTGTTGAAGTGGGCGCATGGCTAATCGATGAAACTTTGCTCCACGCAGGCTTTCACACGCTTCTCATACTCGCGACGATTCTCTTTGTAAAGCTGGGCGGCGGTAGAGTTGGCCGGTGAATTGGGATTGGGATCGCTCAACAGTGACTAGAAAATCAGATGTGAATTAGTAAAATCCGTAAGCGTAGAAATTGAGGGCATGATTACCCACCTGTATGGATGTTAATATAGCTGACACATCATATGTGGGACTCCAGCGATTCTGCAATATATCCAAGCATATGCCACCATCTGCATAAACATTTGGATGAAATACTTTCGATACAAATCGAACTGTTGGCGGTTTATTTGGATATTCTTCCGTAAATTCTATGGTTAACTTAAAGGTACCATCCTCGAACGGTGTATCGTGTGGACCAAAAATCACAGCATTCCATATCATAATATTATTATCTGTTGGCGCACCCGAAACACCCGTTGGTGGGTCCTCCTGAAGTCTGCAAGCGTATAAAATTAAACAAGTTAGCGGTATTTTCCATGGGATAAATATAAAATATTCCTATGTCGATTCCGTTAATTTGTCTGATATTTTCTCTCTTCTTTCTTAATAAATGTACTTCTGTTCAAAAACTTTATTACATTTGAATGAAACTTGGTTAAGATCGGCGTCTTTTTCTACCGGCATATACATATATGTCAATGTCGTCCGAATCAGGACCCTAGCACATAGCCTCCTTCAAAACCCTTTCTGTTGTCACATATGAAAAATGGGCGAAATAGGTGAGAGACGATTTTCGACATATTGCTCATCAAATCCCATATTGTGAGCATTTCTCTGCGCTAGAGACACCAATTTTTATGTGAACACTCTCGTATAGTTAATGCATTCTCCTGCCTACTCCAGAATTGTAATCTTAACCAAATTCAACAGATACGTAGTGCTTTATGCTTTAAACTTGATTATTTTTTTTGTCTGTGCTAGGGTATTTGATGTTCGATATCCCAAATCCTTGTGTAAATCAAAGCAAAACAAAACAGGCAACAAAACAATATATATATATATATATATATATATATATATATATATATATATATATATATATATATATATATATATATATTGAGTATCTGCGTAGCTACTCATGCAAGAAGTGTCTTGTCATGTTTTTAAGATATTTCCTCTTGGCTGCGGCGACTGTTTACAATTACCGTTGCCGAGTTCAATGAGCGCCATGCGTAATAAATATAAAAAAAAAAAACAACAAAATATATATTATGCTGGAAACTTAAAGTTGCTATTTATGTATTTAGAAGAGCAGACAAAAGAGCATTGCGCAAATTGTAGAAATTACCAAGTAAATTGCATTTCTTAAACCAGATCAACAGCCAATTGGCAAGTTTCGAGTCCCCACACGCTATGCACTGGTTCCCAGGGGCATCGCAGCAGACACTAGACACAATATAGGTCAAGCATACACAGACACACATGTTGTAAATATGTAAGTGCAACAGCCACACGCTGTAGAAGAAGAGAAAGCACTAGCAGCAGCAAAAGCAGCAGCGACCAACCGCGCCCTTCAATCGGCTAAATCAATACATATGACAGAGCTCCAAAATGAAATCATCGATTAAACAACAACAAATGCAAAATATAATATAAAAAAAATGAGAAAAGAATAAACAAAGAAACTAGCTAAAGCGATAACCAATGAAGAATGATAAATAAATCTATAATGCGGTGGGTGGTTCTGGGCAGTAGAGATGGACGCGTGATGCATATATTTTTTCACGAATAAAGGTTTGTATATGAAGAGGAAACACGTTATTATTAATTAATTAAAGACCCCTAAGCAATTTTTTTAAAACTGTTAAATATTGCTTTAACTATCTTATTTTAAATATTAACATAATTATTAGATCATTGTTTTTCAACGCATTTTAATATACAATGTATATATAATTCAAAAATTCAAATTAGTCGTGAGTGCTAGTATCAGCTAGCGAAAAAAAAATCCCTCACGCGCGCATCTCTACCATGTTGGGTCTTAATTCCTGCTGCCTTGACGTAGCCTTGACATTTACTCTAAGGAGGAAAAACCCTAAAAACCTCTTTACTCCTACCGTTAAGTTCTTTATGCAATCACTTTAAAAATTGGCAGGTAAAATTTGCAAAAATTTAACCAACCAACGAAATTGAATGACACAACATAACAACAACAAGAACAAACACAACGCTGAATGAAATTCCAATAAGACGCTGCGCTGCTCTGCCCGCCTGCGCTGCTCTGCTGCAGAGTATGAGTCAACAAGGTTGCGAGTGACGAAATATGGCAGAGCAGTAGAGGAAATCAGGATGATGACTTTTGTTTTCAGGCAAGCGGGCCGTAGAAGAGCAACAATTTGATTATTGCTGCTCTCGTTCTTTCTGCTCTGGTTGGCAATTTTTGGTGTTTTTATTGTTCTTGCAGCTGCTATTTGATGTTTTGTCTGCGACGCAATTGCACAAACGGGAAAAGAATTTTTGTACATTACGCTTTGCGATTGTTTTTTGCTTTTTTTTTGCGCAGATTTGGTTTACATACATGTGATTTCGTTTTGTGCTATGCTTCAAAGTCAAGTGTCAAAGACGCAGGCAGCATAAGCAGCACTCTTTTTGTTGTTGCTGTAGTAGTATCACAAAATAAAAAGCAGCGAAAAAAAGGCAACGTACAAACATACACACACAGACACAACTGGTACGCAGGTCACATACACACATATACGATTTGTATTTTGGCTGCGCAAACTTTTCCACGGGTATATATACATACATAGGCAAACGTATGTGTGTGTACATATATATGTCGTCCCGTTTCTCCATTTCATACCACGACAATTGTCGAAGTGTGTGTACTTTTCTTACCTTTTAAAATCTCTCATAAGACGTCTGCGTGCGGGTGTTGACATGTTCTACAACGTTACTACCACTTGTGTTAAATGTAAACTATAACGTTTACGCAATGCGATTTTTTATAAACAGAAACAGTGAAATTTTGTAATTTTATTTTTAATTGAGGGCACTGAGCAGCGTAAGAAAATGTATCGATACTTCGCACATACCCAACGTTATAATGCTCGATACTCGATATCTTAATGGGCTGCCAGCTTGACGCTATCGCGTTACGATAACACAATAGACTGTCCACTTAGCAGCCGCACTCCTCCAGTTTACAGTGACTCCACACATACCAGTCAACTTTTTTCAAGCAGTCCGTTTTCCCTTCAATATATGAAATTTTATCTTAAAAACAATTTGGCGAATTAACTGTATGTAGGTGTTGTTAATTGAAACGTTTATATTATATATATTCAACAAATGTCCATTAAATTTAATTTCGATGATTTTTTATCTGGTAAATACTTGCTGTTAATAACAGTCCCGTCAATACTAATGTTATGCATACTGCTATTATTTCCTTTTAACATTTCCCTGAAGATGAAAACAAAACGAAATGCAGGCAAAAATGTTGCGGCAAAAGACGAAAACGCTCAAAAAGTAATGAACAAATTTAAATTTTGCGTGAAAAAATCAATTTTAACTGCAAAATATTACTGTGCGATAAAGGTAAGTAGTTCAGCCTGACAATGGCAGTGTATATATATTTTGTTGTCAAATTGTGTCAAATTGAGAAGAAATCGTTTTCTGTTCCATTAAAGTTTATTTATGAATTATATTAGAACTAATATAGAGAAATTAACTGTATCACAAGCAATAGCATATAGAAAATTAAGTATATAATTTAATTAAACTGGAAACAGTTCATTGTAGGTAAAATTCTCCAGGATTTTAGTGGCAATCGCCAGGAACTTAACCTCCAGTGCGCGAGCTATGGGCGCTATCACCTCATTCGTGAAGAGCTCAAAATTCTCATTGATCGTCTGATTGATAACATCGCCCAACACCTTGTCGCCATTGAAGAGATTCTCCAGACGCAGACGCCCTTTGCCAGTGCGTATCTTCAATGCAAATTCCTTCACCTCAAAGTAGTCAATGTCGTTGACATTCCTAACGTCGTATGTGATGCGCACATAAGCCACAAAATTTGTAAAGTTACCGACAAAGGGCCCGTTACCCTTGATGGGCAATGCTAATATATTGCCATTAATATCATATTGGCCATCGCCCTGCAGCAGCGGTAAAAGCAGCTCGAAATCAAAGCGTCTGTTCTGTGTGGAGGCGCGCATTTTGGTTATCTCAAAGTTTGACGCACCAAAGATGTTCAATTTTTTGGCCTTGACTGTAATACCGCTGCTGCCGCCCTCGAGTATGTTCAGATCACCAATGTAGAGTGGCTCCAAAGCGGGCACATTGATCTCCTTGATGCCCTTACCCAAGTATGGACGCAAATTGTGCACACTCTGCTTCACGCACTTGGACAGCTCGGGATCGTTGCGATGACAGATCTTGATATAGTCAGCTAAATAGAGAAGAGATAGAATGTAAAATCTGGTAAGTATGTGAAGTTTATACAGCCTGATTAGTTTACTCACGCATGTTTCCTGCACAGGCATAGCCAAAGCAGCAGAGCAGAAGAGTGGCTGCTATTAATCTTGATTCCATTTTAAGCTTGGGCTTGATTTGAATCACCTGCAAAGAGTGAGTTGCATAGAGATAATGAGCTTGGGGGTAAAATACCAAGTAAGCTTAACAACTTCGACTTCAACTAAAGGCTCTGCTAATGTCCGATCATTATAGGTTTTGTAAATTCATGCTCATTACTCCTAAGTTTATTGACGTCACAGCAACAAAGTTGGTTAACTAATAGATGACAATTTTATTGGCTCAAGACGCATTCACTAGCCACTAGCCAGCACTTAAGTGCAGCCGCCCAACAATGCAATTCATATAATCATTCACCAGTCGCTGCTGATTATAGACGTTATGATTACAGCTTTGCCAGCCAATAAGTAGTAGGTATTTTAGCTTCGCAATTTGCATACGAAAGTCTGCTCTTGTTTAGATTTCTTTCTAGCGTCTTATAATAGACTGACATTGTTGATTATTGTCCATAAAAATTAAGTATAGAGTGTCTGGTATGAAGAGCTAGTGAGTTGGGCTCGACAGAGGCCTAGCTGGGGCCGCCAGACGGGTCGCAGGTTGCGGATAGCGAACGGCCTCCTACCGGAGGTTAGCTGTGAATAAGCGCGACCAACCGCAAATAAGCAGTCCCGGACAGCCAGCGGATGCGTGGCAGTAACCATGGCATTGACAAGGCGCTTGTGTTGCCGCCTTCAAAAGCATAGCTTCACACTCACACACACACACACACACACTCACTCCTGGGCTGGACTAAGGTGTCAGTCGACCCGTGCCGAGAGTCAGCCTGGCTGGGGGCCCAGGTTCAACAAAACAAGCCCAGTTTCGAACGGAGAGCTCAGGCAAGTGGCGAACGCCTGTTCTATGTAGCCTTGCTCGGGTACTGCGGATCTCTGCCCGAGTCGACTGATTCTAATCTCCGCCACTCGTGGGAACAAAACAAGATGAAATCAACTAAACAAACCCAAAAACGGGAGTACGGTCCTCCCAATAAACGACCGAGAGAAACTACCAGTTTCGCCAAGGGAAGAGGAGCTCATTGGAGCATGAGCAACCGCTCAGCTGGCTCTAGCAAATCATCGGGCATCAGGCAAGCACCAACAATGCCTGGCCAACCTGACGGCAGCCCGATTGTAAGCCGAAGACCAGCTAATTTTTCAAGGCCCGACCCATCAAAAGCTACCAAATTTGATGAATCCAAGGCCAAGCGCATATTAAAGCGTAATGCAATTGCACCGATTACAGAGGATCAGGCTTCGTCGAGGGAAGATTATCTGAAAATTCAAGAGGATATCGCGTGGGCAAGAGCTGTGCTTCCAAACTTTGAATGTGGCTTTACGAACCAACGTGATGAGCCAGGAGATGTTGAGCCCCTGGTGGAAACTTTGATTGTGGAAGTTAAAAATACTGCGCCGAACCGACCCCACGCAATAGAAGAGCCACCCAGAAGATTAGATCAATTGGATGCAGATGATCAGATAGGCACCCAACAGCAAGTTGATGCTTCCGCATCGAATCGCGTCCGGTCGCATGAAACCCCCTTGAGACAATTTGCAAAAGTTGCAAGAGGACGCAAAATAATCGGCGTCATCGACAACAGCCAGCCAGATGGTAAGATCCCTCGAAACCAATGGGGTTGGATTCAGGCCTCGATGGCTTCCGTTGCACTGGAAGTATTGCGGAATAACCCAGGTCTGCCACCATCGTGTACGGATATTGGCTGGTTTCAAGGAACCACCAAACTAATTGCCTGCGACAATGATAGATCTGCCCTGCTTTATAAGGAGGCCATTACCAAGATTGGCGAAGTATACCCAGGCGCTCAGTTGGAGGTGATTGATGTGCAGGACATACCGTCGCGCCCTTGGGCCACTGCTTGGCTACCCGAGACACCGTCAGAGTCTAGGGACATTCTGGAGCTGATGACCACATTCAACCCAGAACTACCGACAACTGACTGGAAGGTCATCAAAGCGGTTAGATTTAGGGAGGCTGCTATGGAGGTGATATTTCAAATCAGTCACGAATCAATTCTATACCTAACCAGGTGCGATGGCCAATTGAGCTATGGCTTCAACAAGATCCATATGAAGTACTACAGAACACCCTGCGAAGCGCTTTCGAACCTGGAAGCATTTGCAGCGGCTGTCGATCCGCCCAGCGATGATGAAATGGAAGCCAGGGACAACCTTTTAAATGAGGACATTAGCGGCTACCTATCATCAGAGTCGGACTGTGGCGGCAGTCCTCACAGCCTCTAGTAGGTAACCACCTGCAACCAACCCAGGCCTAACCCAGGCCAACTGCGACCATTCCACAGAATACATTATTATGGAAACCCTAGACACATGAAAGTTAAATAAATTAAGCCTGAAAACCTAACTGCTGGCTAAACCTTTTTATTCAACTTGTGGATTATTGTAATTTGTTCACGATATCGAACAAAAATCGGAAATGTATTCAAGTAATTATAGTTCTTCGTTTTTAACACATGTGTTTCTCAGCAAACGCACTAAATATGATTTTTTTTTATAGATTTTTAAGTTTTTGTTTTTTCTCCAGATCTTTTCAGGAGTGTAAATAAGTTTGTTTAATTGTAAGTTAGGTTGTAAAATTTATATTTTAAGCACTTTTTACTAACGTTTTTTGTAAATTTGTTTTCGTGAAGACCGTTTTATCAGCTCGACTAGAGTGGTTTGTGTTTGTAGTTATAGTAACCCGTCTACAGATCGTACTGAATGCAAAATTGTTGAGTCGTTCGCGTTTTATAGCGAAAATTGACGCTTCGATTTACATGAGCGTCGCTGGCGAGCTCAGAACTGGGCAAACGTAGAACCCCAAAACACGTTAAGAATGCCCGGGGCCAAGGGAGAGACGTTGCCAGACAAACGCTGGGGGTTAATAGTGAGAACGAGATGTTAAGCGGCTGCGGGTTAATCATAATAATAATCTTAATGATCGCATTCACACAAATGTGTCTCTGTGTTTGTTTCTGCTAACTGGCAATACCCCGTCTAAAAGGAGAAATAAAAAATAAAAATAAACTGCAATATGACTTTTCAGTTAATACCGCGAATAGCCCCCCTTTTGGTAAGTGATAACCTAGTATGCCATTTAATAGATTGTTTTCATTAATATTGTTTTTGTTTTAGGCTTTCTAGAACGCACTTTGGGCCGAGCGTGCAGTTGCGCAATTAGAAGATCTTTCAACAGGGGGCCGATCAACTCGTGTTGACAACCTGCTGGGTTTTCGTTTTTAAATTTGCATCGCCTGTCAACTGAATTTTATATAATTTCACTGAAGCTTTTCTGGAAGGCGAGGCTCTGACCAGACGGCTGACATGGTTCACTGCGACAACTGATGGGCGTCCCGCGGAGTTGAGACTGTTATGGCTAAAAAACAGAACAAAAAAATTGTTCGCCCACACGCAAGTGGACGAGTTATTATAATTAGCTTATACTAGTGTAAACGTTAAAGGAAATCTGTTCAGACCTTCGATCTGGGTAATTCAAACACGAGCCGCTAAAATCGATTACGCTGGGATTAAGAAAGAAACGCTAACACTCTTCCACGACAATCGCATCTAAATAATAGTAAGTTTTCTTATGGCTCATACGAATTTAGTTTCTTGAAAAGAATACGAATTTTTATAAATGTAGCATTATTTTACTTTCTTTAATTGGCACCACATTTAGTTTGTAGTCTTGCCGTCTTCGTTTATCTACATACCACAGTTAGGGCTCTTGGGAAAATAATCGTAGTAAGTGTTATTTTAAAAATTACAGTTTTTTTTATGATTAATTTTTAGTTTTATTAAAAGCCTCAAGCAATAATCATTATTTTTTTTTAAGCATTTAAAAATTTTTTAAATTAATGATTTTGGGCTGAGTTTTGGGAATTATGACATTCGAATAAAGTACAGTAGCAAAAAAACATTGTTTAAAATTATTTATTTTGAAAAAAAATTTCAAATTAAAAAAAAAAACATTTTATTTTAAAAGAACGGACATGTTAAGCATGGTGCAGCTGTATAGAATGTAATATCGATTTTTTGTTAAATGATTTTTCTTATCATTTCATTTAAATACTTTTAAAATTAATGATTGTGGGCTGAGTTTGGATTTTATTCGCTAACGAATACATTTCAATAGGAAATAATGACTTTTGAATCAAATACGTTGGTTAAATTAAACATATTCCAAGAAAGTGATCATACCTATTTAAAAAAATATTGAAAAGATTTTAAATTCAAAAAGGCAAATTTCAATAAAAATATAATTTAAATCATGTGCGTATGCATAGATTATCCAAAAATGAGCAAATTAATATTTTCATTTCATTTCATACGATCCCTGCATGCTACCTATTTAATATACCCAACCTGCTGCAAATAAATCGTTTGCTTACTACAGCTTGCGAGAGCCTAAAAGATTCTTTAGTTTCATTTTTTGCCATTAACAATTGTCATAATGCCGCACATCATTTTGTTGCTTTATTTTCAGGTTGTTTAAAATTTCTCCATAGTTTTTCATTCATTCATTCATATTGTCGAGACCTTCAATTAGCATGTCGACCCTCCCATATTACTGTGCGATCTAATGATAATGGTAAGTCAACGGTTAACCCGCAATTGCACTTACCTAATACCGAATTAGCCATATAAATATAATATAAGCATAAGCCGAGCTATTTTGTTTTATGGCGGATATTAAATAAGCAGCAAGTGCATAGAATTCCCAGGTTAAATAAGACACACTGCATTTCTTAAATATGTTTCGTATAATTATTTTATTAGAGATTTTGTGTGTTGTTTTTCTTCTTTTGTTTTTGGTGAATTTGTGTTGTGTTGCAATAAATTAGTGCTTACTAAATAGTATACGTCGGACATCTAAATCGAAGAGACTTAACTAGTTCAAGTTAATCCACTCGTCCAGCGGTATCTTGGCGAACAGGCGGTCCATGAAGTTTCGTATGACGAGGGTCAGTTTGGTCCGCAGCGCGGGTTTCATTTCCTTGAGCAGCTCCTGGGAGTTCGAGTTGATGAACAGATTGAGAGCGGCCTCTGCAGTGGGAAAATCTGCTTTAGCTCTATAACTTTTGGGACCGTTTTGGAAAAATGTGTACTCACGTATAACCGAGTTGCCGTTGGCTATGTTGTCAACGCCCATCTGTATATCCTTGACATTGAAGTCCATTTTGACCGAGTCCGTGGTCAGATATGTGCGTCCATCGGCGCCCTCATTGGCCATAGCCTTAAAGTAGATCTTGGCCTTAACGCCCTCTATAAGACGAGGGGGTGGGGGTTTGGCCAGCACACGATTAGTTTACGTTATAGTTTATTAGACTCTACTCACCGTACTCGCCCCAATAATCGCCGGCACCGGAGGCCTTTACCAAGATCAAAACACCTGTGGATCGGTATTGGGCCTTGACGCGTATGCGGGGTATCTCGCACGTTAGCTGGAACTGCAGCGAGTCCAAGTCGGAGCTGCAAGTGACGGATGACAATGGCAGTGATAATGACACAATGATGATATATGTGTTCAGGCTAGGCATAAAACTGCAAGTTCATTGCTGGATGTGCTAATGTATTTGCATTATTTATTTTTTATTTAATTTTTCTAATTTTTATTTTAATTCAATGTCGCACTCGTGTGGCAACTTACTCCACCTCGACCTTCGTTTCGGGTTCACATGCGACACTTGACAGACTCGAGACGACAAAACTGGTGCAAACTACACAAATAACCTGTACACTCAGAGAAAAAGCCAGTTCTCAATTCTAGGAAAGAGTTCTTTTTATAAAATAAGAGAAAAAATACCTGATAAAAAATACTTTTTAAATTAACTTGTGTGAGGGAAACTCCAAATATCTTGGTTTGAATTCTATATTTATGTTTTTTACTGAAACAACTTACTTAAATTTTGATTTTTTGCACTTAGCACTTTTAGCCAAAAATACTTTTGCTTTAAGTAAAACGAGTTTAACAGTTTCTCAATGGAAGTGCAACAAGTTGTAGATTTCATTCTAAATCTGCATTTTTAACTGATTCACGTCTTTGAGACCTTTAACTAAAACATTTCATGCTCAGTTAAAGATATTTATACTAAATTTGAGCATTAAATTCATGTTTTTTTCTGAGTGTAGAGCACAGCCCGGCGGCTGCCAAACTGAAACCCCCCATGTCAAGCCAAAAACCGAATTCGAAATTGAATTCTAATTGAAACCGGCTGCTGGCCGCTTGGTTGGCCGGCAAGAAGCTACACACAAATGCTTGACATAGAGAATCGCTTTGACCCACATTTTCTTGGCTATCGTCAGCTTTGGCACTCGTTTGGCTCTTTAGATGCTTTGCTATGTAAATGGTTCTAAAGACGTCGTACAGTCTTGTTAAATGCTTGTAACGGGTATACCAAATTTGTCGAAAGATGTGCAACGACTCAGAGGGATTTCAATCAATGTATGCGTGTATATGTATATTTATATCTCAAGATTTATCCAAACCAAACTTTAAAATTTGGAGCTGTAGGCAGTTGAAGCTTGCTTTTGGTGTACAGATAATACAATTTGCAAGTGGGTTAAAACTGTGTTAAAAGCTGTCATGACAAAAGTTAAGTTCAATCAGCTTCGAACTAGCATGCGAGAGATCCACGGTTCAAATATTTATTTATTCAAGTCGAAGTTTGCATGACGAAAGTTTAGTTATTTCTGCGTCGAACCAACATGCGAGAGATCGCCAGTTCAAATATTTATTTATTAAATTTTATTTTCAAATGTCGAAGAAAAAGGAGAGAGTAAATTTACAATAAAAAAAGATTTGGCAAATTATCCTCTTGTATTGTATATGTTTATGCGCGAGCGTATTCAGTGTTCGGCAAACTGAATTTCGCTGCTCTTTCTTGTTCATAACTGGCACTTGGCTTATTGATGTGTGTCGTTTGTCGTTAACGGAAAATTGTCGTGTGCATTTCGAGCCAAGTTGATTTGTTGACTTGAGTATTGCTCGCGGCTAGGTCAAGGACATAGTGTTGCAAAAGCTTTGAGCGGAGGCTGGTTCACACTTAGATAATGACTGCCAAACAGAATATATGACATGCATTTGTCCAGAGCTGACAAAATGACTTCAATTCCAAGTATTCGCATGTGATAGGTACTTTTTAAAGCTGATTCTTACTAATCTCCTGCTTGTGATTGGCGTTATTTAATCATTCCAACTAATATTTTTCTTAGCGTTAAACAATTGAATATTCTATTAATATTAAGCAGTGATTGCCTAAGCAACGTTTCTGCTAATTGCCCACCCACGCACGCTGCAGTAAAAATTACCACAACTTTAATTTATGAGCTATAAATATTTCCAATTAGTGGTAAGTGTAAGCCTGAAATGCCTAACTCATTGGGGGCAATTACGTTCCGATGAAAATTTCCAGAAAATGCAAATGTTTAACGCAAATCGATTATTCACTTATTAAAGAGAACAGCATTTAAGAGCTTGGTGCAGGTTTATAATAATAACTGCAATGCTTAACAGTTTGTTTTTTATAGATACAGACCAAAGAGAGTCAGTTTACTCGCAATGCCAGCAAACGGCTTTTTAAGCCATAAAAAATTGCATTTATAAAAAACTTAATGCGTTTATCCATTGATGGAATGCTTGATTGGGCGTTTAGCAAATATATGTATATGGACATACATATGCTAGACGATTATTTTGTGGCTGAAATAGACGGAAAACAAATTTAAATGTATGGCTATGCAACTAGGAAATGCCCTTACGGAACTTGGAGTACCTTAAATGAGTGTAAAGCCAAACAGACTTGAGCGTTATAAATGAACAATTAAAACTAATATATAACTTAGTTAAACAGTGAATTAATTGCAACTAAGCTGTGTAAGATGCCCAACAAAGTGGTTATACCCAGTGCGAAGTAGTGTATTAGACTGAAACAAACAAGCACCGGGGTATTAAGGGTCAAAGCAATGCTAAAAATACGAAATGCCCTCGATCACAGTACAAATAAGTGCGCCGTTGAGTGTGACCCTACTCTTGACTTAACTACTTAAATACATCAAACTGTGACTGACTGACTCACTGCCTGATTGAGCATGTACGTACAGTCCAAACCGTTTGAGTTGGAAAGCTGAATTTGTTTACATTATTTCCATTTTGGGATGAAATTGAAGTTTTTTGTGCAATTCAGCTTCTGGGTCGGGAAAGCGATTTTTCAGCTTTAAGCATGAATTTTAACTTCTTTGGGGGCATATCTAGGCTATACAAATGTGGGAATATATTGAATATACGTACCGCACATTAGTAACAGTTATATTGCTAACGCCAAAGGCCTGAATATTACGGAAGAGGGCGCGATAGCCATCCGGGCCGCTGCCCAGCACAATGCCGATCTCATCAATAACCACGGGCTCAATCTGTAGCGAGGGAGAGAGAGAGATAGTGAGAGGAAGTTGGAAAAATAATTAGCACCAAATAAAGCCAGCTTAGGTTTACCTCGTAAATATCCAATTCGGGTATGCCCTTTTGTAGATAATGCACCAATTTGTTGCCGCTATCACGTAGACACTCGTTAATAGCTGCCTCATCGCGAGGGCATTGCTGCAGATAGTAAGCTGAAAGATAAAAAGAGAGAGAGAGAGAGAGAGAGAGATCTATAATTATTGCATTTGACAGTGTGACCAACGCCAACTGTGCATCATTTCCCAGTTCAATGCTTTTGTATTGTCTTTCTTTGCACGCAAATCTGTTAGGTTAGCCACTTTTGCTGATTATCTTTTGTTAATACGTTTTCTGTTTTCTTTTCATTTGTATTATTTAAAGTTCTAAGCTTAAGTTCAAGCATTGCGCATCCGAGTGCAACGAAATTAATTGCAACACGGCTCGCAATGTTTGTGAGCAATGTTCAAGTTCGTATAGTGCAGATCCACACGGGCGGATAAGATCAATCCCAGCTACAGGCGTGAGCATGTTCAGCAATCAACTTGTTATTGCCCGGCTCTGGGCCTGTGAACAAAACTGCAGTGACAGCTTTATTGGCGGTTTCATTAACGTTGAGGGCTGAGCTGCCATCTGGCATGTTGGGGGCATGAACTCAACTGCTACTGCGATTGCCTCCACTTGGAGCATCAGCATCAGAGCTCCCCAGTATTTAAATTAGTCTGCTCAATGCTAGTTTATTATCTAATACTATTACCTAACTTCATATGTTAACCATGTTTGCTTACGAACATCATCATCAAGCGTTTCTATTTGCATTTAGTTGGATGGAGTATCTGGCTAGCTTCTTAGGACTTGAACAACGTTTGTCCGTTTTTATAATCGATGCCCTTTGAAATTGTTTTATTGTAGCGGAGGAAATGTATGTAACATGCAGCTGCCGGCAATTACGACTCCATATATACATATATATCTCATACGAGCTAGAGATTTTGAATTCAGGTTCTTCTACAGAAAATGTTAATCGTTAGTTGCCTTTTTTTCGCAAAAAGTGATAATTATTGACCTTACATTTTTTATTTAGGATCTCGTATAGTACAATCAGATCGAGAACCAGTCATTATTTGAAAATCTTCCCATTTGTGTCAAAATTTGGTATCTACAATCATTCGTATGTCATATTTAAGTCATTTGAAGCAGGGTATCTGCCAGTTGGTCACTCTCGACTAAATCACTCTGGCTTGTTTTATAGCTAAGTTGAAGTATTTTAAAGCTTCTTCTGCTCTCATTATATAATAAAGCTGTAAGGCACGTCTTATTGCAATTTCATTTCAAGAATAACATTTCTATGGCTTTCTAAAAATAGCCTGGTTTATAGCACTTGATTGTTAAGCACTTGCGGCAAAGTGCTGTCAAAAGAGTTTATTATATCAACCATGCCAAATTATTATCTGAGAACTGAGATCATAAACCCTTTTTAAACTAACATAATTGGTGGCATTTTTTAATGCCCTGTGGAACGTATTGGATGAGATATCTCCGACCCCATAGAGTACAAAATATTCTTGATTTGTGTTAACTATGGAAACTTTTCTCCGCTGTCGAGTATCATGTGGCTGATCAGAAACGGTTGATAGGTAGTAAAGTTTAGGTATAAACGCTTTTTGCAAAGCTTCCATTTACTAGTTTTTAGCCTCTCACCAATGTGTATTCAAATAGCTGTCTTTTATATGTAAGTCATAATTATACAAGGGTATTTATATTTCGGTGTGCCGTTCTTTCTTGTCTTAGAGCTTGCTTTTGACATGATAAATTGCAATTCCTGGAAGCGTAACTTTAGATCTATCAACTTTCGAAGTGGTGGCCACGTTTTGGCCGGGTAATTAAAACCGAATCGAGCTCTACTTAAGACAATTTAAAAGCGACGTGATCGCCATGGAGGCCCCGCCCTTTAAGGACTGGAAAGCGTCAACGTAATCCGATAGAAAGCGTTAGACGCAAACAGCACGAAATTTCTGGCAGTTTTCTAAGGTATTTTTTGGCATTACTTACGCTGTTGCTGAGCCCAAATGGCGCCCACTGTGGACAGCAGCAATATTATTCCAAATTTGTGGCACATAATTGTTGGTTGTTGTGATTGTTGGTTTTTTGTAAGTCTGCATGAAAGTACAAGTTAAAATAGATAGTTATCAGCGTTGTTTCACTTTTAGTTTGGTTTCATAATTGATTAGCACGTGCTAATTTCTGGCAACTTGTTTTTCTTATGAGTAAGAGCGAAAGCGTTTTAGCAGAATTTAAGGTTTAGCCGAAAAATCACTATGAAACATTCTGCGTATAGAAATATATATATTTACAAATTTCACTCGACGCTCGAAATACTGAAATTCTATCGCTGGGCTCTCAGCTTGCAGTATGTGGGTCAAAACGGACCAGTTCGTTGCGTTTGATTTTGTTTTTGTTTTGTTTGTTCTTGCTCGGCTGTAGGAATTGCTTTCTTATAAAGGTAGCTGCTTGTTGTTGTCGTCTGTTGCTGTCGGCTGGTTGCTTTCTTTGCGCTGAGTGGCGTCCAACTTTCACGCGACTTGAGCGAGGAATGAGCCAACGCTGCATTGGACCAAGCCATTTAACCGAAAACGAAACCCAACCAAAAGAAATGAACCCGCACGTCGAAAGCAGCGCCAAAGGCAGTGCAACGGGCTGAACAAAGGCCACAAAATGGGGCCACACCCACCAGACGCTGCCGCCACATGCAACTGCGTCCGCCTAGGCAGGCGTATCTGTATCTGGGCTGGGCCTGGGCATGGGAGCTGGCCTGTACCGCTACTTGAAGGTTAAGTTCATGCCGTGAGCTCTTCGGTCGCTGGCCTTAAAAAAAGAAACAGCGTAATGAGTTGTGGCATGAATCATGCGCTTGATTTGAGCAGGGATTAGCTCTGCTAAATCCTGCGTGCCTCGCATTCAGCATGGTCCGATATATCCCCTCCTAGTTGTTAACTTTTCTTATGCCTCATGAATATCCGGTAATTTTTGCCCTTTTGTGCCTCAAACTAGCCTTTTAGAAAGGTCAAGTGCTGCCATTTGCCATTTAGCTCACGCTCTTAAGATTTGCATATGAACAATTATAGTAAAAAAGGAATGGCTATCTTCGCACGCCAAAGATTATATACCCTTGTCAAACTAATGATTCCTACGGCAGACGGACGATTGATTACCTTAAAGCTGAGAGACGAGTTTGCCGAAAAACAGACAAATAAGCAGACAAACTTGCTATATTAATTCGTTTTGAGATGTCTTCTGTTATGCGTTACACATTTGCTGACAAAGCTTAAATACTCCCAACAAGGGTATACATTAGTTTGTGTATGGCAATCACACTTCTTTCTGACGAATTCTATTGACACGCCCCCATCTTTAGAATTCCAATTTGCAAAAAGAAAAAAAGAACTTGTAAGAACTTTATGTCCATTCAATGCAAAAATGCATTGTGAATTTTAATAACCGAAATTTTTGACATTTTATTAAATTGTTTTTCCTTTTGTATTTAAATTGTGCAAAATACAAAACAAACATGATGTATAAAGCTTATAACAACATGTGCATAAAATACAACAAAAATCTTTTGTCCGGTTGCGAAAAGTGTGGCATACTTTTGAGCGCAAACGACAATGCAGCAGCTACAGTCGCGTCGCATATATTGGACCGAGTTCGAATGGCAATTACAGGTTTTGCTGGTTATGGTCAAGGTCATTTTTATTGGTCGTTGTGCTCATTGTGGTTGGTTTATCTTATGTTGTTGAGAGTTTTCCTGTGGCCAGCCGATATCCTTGAGTTCTTATTGCCAGGAGAAAAGTGCCAGAATATATATTGGTATTAATACTAATGTAGAATCAAGAACAATTTGTGCCAAAATGCGTCTCAAGTGACCTAGAATTTTAAACTTCCTTGACTTTCTTGTTTATTAGAACTGTCTGCTTATATGGTAATCAAATTTTTTTTTAAAGTTCAGTAGTATTTAGAAACTAGTTGTCACCGATAGTGAAACTGGCAGGTGCTAATAAAGCCAGAGCTAAATATTTAATTTCTAATAGTTAGATGCAATCCATTAAAATCCAGTTTTGTGGAACCCGTTTCCTTTAAGCTCTAGCTAGAATTATAAAGAGAGAACAAAAAATTGTATAATCTGTCGCCAGTTCTTTATTTATTTGCACTTAAGGCCTCACGTAGTGACTCGCCTGTTTACCCATTATATTTTTGTAATAATTAAGTAAATACTTTTGGTAATTTCTTAGAGACATTGTTCTGGAAGTGTTGATAAATGTTTTCTTTTAATATGCCATAGCCATTGGCACTTAGAACAAAGCCGTATAATTATTTAAATAACAATGCGAGTACTTTAGACAAAGGCTTAAAAAATGTTTTCCTGTACCATTTCAGCTATTCAGCTATTTGCTCTAGGGGCTCCTCTTAAAGTATTTCTCACTATTGTCGTATAGTTTTTGGTATGCGGGCACTCGTACACGAACTCGCATTTATTATGTGCTCGAATCGACTTTAGTTTTGTGTTTGGATGGGCACTTGCCCACTTTTGCTTTCCTCCGCACTTGTCACGGCCATTGTAAACAGTTTAAGATCGGCGACAGTCAAAGATCAGACAGTGCAAAGTAAGCTTGTGCGCCTCCCCCTGAGCTGAACGTTTAAATTGTTTACCAAATACAATATATGAGGAATCTATTTATTAAAAACATATCTGAATACCAGAATCTAAATGTAACGCTCAACTAAGGCAGATATTTATGGTTACATACAGAACAAAACTGGTTACTATTGGCAGCTGGAAAAAACCTTAGAGAATAATTTGTTACGGCAATTTATAAAATTATATAATTATATTGTGCTTAAGTATGTTATTGAAGCTGAGCTTTTATCTTACTTCTTTTTAATGTTTTCCACACATGACTTTGGCACAGAAATAGAAGTAGTTGAAAGCTGTTAAGAGATTACAAATTATAGATATTCAATTTGTTTTTGGTCAGGGTGCTCTTGTGGTTACTTCTGCTGAGGTCATTTGCTTTTAGGGAAGGTTTTTTCTGCTGGACAGTTGTCAATTGCGGGGGGTTTGTTGAGCCGTGACTGAACAGATTCAACAAACTATTATATATACATATGTAGACCGTTAATTGCAACGGAGAATCTCCAAAGTTAATGATTTGCACTTTGACACATATCAACAAAAAAATGTAGAAAAATAATTAACATTTTATTCTAAACGAGTTGAAGACACAAATTTACAGTATATTACGAAAATTGGATAGCTTAATTACTATTTATGCCATTCGGCAAATGGGAATACAAAACAAACGAAAACAAGAGTGCTCTAGGCGAGAGAGCACGACCTATTAGATACCCTGTAGCCAGCTGTCTATATGTATATATTAGGTCGTATGTAAAATGTTTTCATGTAGAGCTTAAATTGCATTTGAATGCTCCTACGTATCAAAAATATTTACCTTTCGAGTGCCTACTCGAGAGCAATATACCGTGCCATTCTTAATGGGCACAGGGTATAAGACAATAATCATAATTTTGGTAGACGCCGCAGCACAGACTCACGCGAAGACTCCAGCTGAAGAGTGACGCGGAAAAGAGACCTTTAGACACCTTTACTAAACACCAGTTACAGTCACTAAGTCACTTAGTCATTCAGTCAGTCACTTTGTCGGCGTCGACGTCGCAGCCGACGTCGCTGCCAGTGTGGAGCTGGGCTTTGCATCGGATCGCCTCCTCTTGGAAGGGGGCTTTAAAATCAAGCCGCGACGCTGACAACGTTCACAGTTGTCGTTCTCAGCTGCGCGTTGTTGGTCGTCTGTCGCGAATCGAGTTGCATAAATTACATAATTATTGCTTATTTGTTATTAATATTATTGTGATTGTTGTTGTGCGTGCAGTGTGTCGTGTGTTAATTGTTTAGATTTTTGTATTTATAACAAATTAAAATGCTAAAATATATGTGCATTGTGGCCGCTCTCATGCAGTCGATCTCCTTCACACAGGCCGAGGCGCGTAAGTTCTCAAAACGATCTCAATTGAGATACAGTCTAATAATTCAAGTGTGCGAAATGTCGTGCTTCAACAAGCTTAGCTAATTGCATATTGATGTGTTGAATGTGCAACGATCTAAAGGGAAATAAATGTCTAATCGCTGATTTTCTTTCAACTTGATTGATCAATGCACAATTTATTATTCTCTATTATTTATATATTATATTATATATATATTATATATATTTAATATAAAATTAGATAAGTAAGATTGTTGGGTGGACTTTCCCAATAGGTTCCCAATAGTTTACTTTCACAATTGATGTCTAGCTCCGAGTACTGCGGAAAAGTTTGTCAATTGATATACTTCCTTTTTTTTGACTTGTAAAATACAACAATTTATAACATATAACAACATGTAAAGCAAATGAATTTTAATCTATACTAAAAGTTCCAATATTCATGTAATATTTTATAATATAATTGTGTCTGTTAACTAAGCTCAGTTTATATGAAGCAAACAGCTAAGTGCCTTGTGATCTTGCTTAGCACCTTTCTAAAGTCCAAAAAAAAGGCCCATATCATTAGTAAAGTTTGACATGTCGGCTAATTAGCTGGAAAAATGTGGGTGTGCCCAAGATGAGTTCGCGATATTTGCAATTAGCATTTACAGCTTTTCACATTTGTCTATATTTTTAATGCGAAAGTCAAATGTGTCAAGTGAAGCGCATATCGATCATAAATATTATGTACATTCTGTGTAGTTAACAGGTAGTGTGTGTTAATTGCCCGAAACAACACCGTTTGAGGTAGAAAAAAAAACTCGGGCAGGGGTACTATGTGAAGAAAAGCTCAGACATAACTAAAAGACAAACTTCCGCATCCACAAAAGACGCATTGAAAATGCAAACTATGAACTAAATTCATATTTAATGAACGCAACTAAAACACAAAACAAATAAAACCAAGCATTTTATTCAAGTTTCCGTTGAACAACCTTCAACTTGAATTTTATGCTGAGCTGCAGTCGCGCCGCTAATGATCAGCAGCTGAATATAAACCATATTTAATGATATAGCAATGATCTGTGACGGTCGTGCAGCACATAATATCATATAATATATAATGGCAGACAGGTTCTTGAACGTTGCATTTCGAAAGACCTTGGCTTCACGGCCTTGTCGGAGATCTCGCACTCGGTCTTGGCCAGGCCTGAACTTGAATTTAAGTTGGCCGATTCTGTCCAGAGTCGTTGAACTTTATACGAATTGAAAACATATTAACGGAAACTGAAATGGAAATTGATTTTTGTTTAAACAACTAAGTGACAAATATTTTATTGCTTCTACTTCTTTTTGTTGTTTGCTCAACAGCTGCGTACATTAAACAATGCCGTCGCGACGATCCCAAGCTCGTGGACTGCTTCAGTGCTTCCCTGGAGCACCTGAAGCCCTATCTGGCCAGCGGCATACCAGAGATAGAGGTGTGTAACCCTTCGGCCCGTGGCATGTGGCATGCCCCATGCCCCATGCACATATTTGCATTGTTAAACGAGTTGCAG